GTCATACATAAAATTCATAACAATTGGACCAACATCGGATACGCTTCCGTAAATCATTTACTTTTTCATCAGAAATATGCTAAGATTTTTGTACAATAAATTTTTATATATATAAATCTGCTGTTCACGGGATATCGTTAAGTTTTTAAGAAAGGTTTGCTGACTTACATTACGTATAAGCCATTCAACTAATGCTTTTTAATTAAGATATTCGTATTGATGACAAAATGGAGGTCAAGTTCAATATTTTCGATTTTCCATTTTCTGGTCCTTTATATATTGGAGAAAATGCAACTTTACGCTGTTTCCTTGCACTTACTTATGAATTGTTCAACCTATACCTTTAAATTTTTGTTTCTGATGCCAAATGCAGGTCAATTTATAATCACGACTTGCACTTTCGCCGTTCAGGTTTTTGGTCCTTGAAAAGTTAAAATATAAGCACCGAAGGTGACAGGTTAAACAAACCTGAAATTCTTTCAAAATACAAAACACTCTGTTTACTGTCAGTTTGGCAACTTATTTCTTGTTGTTTTTTTTGGCAAAATAAGATAGATTGAAATAAACTGTAAAACGCAGAAATATAAAGCATCTATAACAGATCTACAAATCAGAAAAAAGCCAAAGTCGTAAATCGAAAATAGAATGTATAGAGAAAAAAAAATTAAAACACCACTTTATAAATTTCATGCGTCCGAAGCAGAATATTTTAAAGCCAATGATGTGAAAGAATCAAAACAGTTAGAGAGCTGTATGACCAAAAAAGACATAAAAATATTAGCAAAATCTATCTCAAGTCAACTTTGCCTAAGGAAGTTGAAAGCTTTGTTTCTTAGTAATGTATAAATTTATAAACGGACAATATAGAAAGGTTTGTTATAAATTTTATCAGTACCGAAGTACTGACTACTGAGCTGATGAAATCCCAAGGCACTGATAGTCACCCAGCAGTTTATATATATATAGTATATACATAGTGCTTTAAAAATTTAAACACCACTTTATAAATATGCGTCCGAAACGCTTTTCTTGTTTTAACTTTCATGAATCCTCAAGCCAAATATTTGAAAGCCGATGATTTATAAGAACCGAAACTGTTGAAGAGATATATAACTTAAAAGAACCTAAAAATTGATAGCCATATCAATCTCAGTCAAACTTTGCCTGAAGGAGTTTAAACCTCAATTATGTAGAAGTGGTTAAATAGCAGTTATGTATAAGTGGTTAAATAGCAAAGACGTAAAATCAAGGGTAAATCTGACCATGAGCTTTTTTTCATTATTTATGAATAAATGTAAAAATTTTCGTTGTAGGGGTCTGTTTCTCAAATACTTTAACCAATTAGTGAACTATATTTGATGTATGGAATAAATGCATGGTAAACATATTGTCTGGAAGGGTTCATATGACCTTTACTTCATTTTCATGGTTCATTGGTCAGTGTTAAATATTCGTGATTAGGTCTGATACTCTATAATTACAAGTAATAGGCTACCTATATTTGGAGTACATACTGATTGTAAGGTGTACATGTCTGTCTGTTACAGTTCATCTGACCATGACCTCATGAACGTAGACCATTGATTGGGTTAAGGTTGTGTATACTTGCAGGAAAACCTCCATATTACCGACTTTCAAGATGAAATCAGTATATGACAGTTTTACTGTGTGCACTATGGCTTAAATATAGAATGCTGCTACAATTTCCAACTAACCACAAGTTGAGGATAATGGAAGACAAATAATTCATATTTAATATTTCAGAACAAATCAACAAAATACTTGAAGACTGGAAGAACAATGGAAAGATGTTTATAAACACAAGAGCCGCCCAGCACGTACTGAAATGTATACAGGAGAAAAGTTGTGTAACTATCACTGCAAGTCCTGGTGCTTTACAAATGTCAAATAAACAATATGATGTTATTCTTGTGTCTGATCCAGTTGACATTATTAAGTTTCACAATCCGAATAAGAAAACATTGTTCGTTATTGATGATTTATGTGGAAACTTTTCCGTTGACCAAAGTGATATCAAAAGGTGGGATCCACTCATTGAGCGTATAAAAGGAATTCTAGAAAACAAACAAACAAAAATAATTGCAGCATGTCGATTACAAGTTTTTCAGGATGACAAATTTAACACTTTATCAATTTTTAAGTCATGTGCATGTAACATGTCATCAGAGGAAATGTATTTGTCAAAAGCTGAAAAACAATCAATAGCAGAGCTGTATTTAAAATCAAAAGCCTCTGAGATTACTGACTATTATTATTTATATTATTGTTTTCCGCTTCTATGTAAAATGTATTATGATAATCCTAATTTTGATGTTGTAGATTTATTTCAGAAACCATTTACTGTTTATGAATCAGAAATTGACAAGCTACTCCAGATGGGACATTATACTAAATATTGTGCTTTAGCTTTATGTGTCATGTTTAACAATGAATTGAAAGAGGAACTATTGACAAATGATGTTGATCCAGAAACAAAAACTGTTATTGAGAACACATGTCAAGCATGTAAACTGGACAGAGGAGTTTCCCTACTTGTTATACAGCATGGACTTGACCCACTAACACATACATATGTTAAGAAGGTAATGAGCATACGTGAAAACAAATATTTCTACAGAACTTTACATGATAAAATATTTGACATTTTAGCATACTACTTTGGACAAAAAATAACTAATTGCTTGATAAAGAATGCAGAAAGCTGTTTGATCAATAAGCGATTCTTATTAGAAAAAGAGGTGGACATGGATCAATTTATTACCATCATTCCCCCAAAATATCATCAGATGTACATTTAAAGATTAATTGATGAATGGTCAAAGGGAAATGTTGGCAATATTTTTAATAATATTAATATGAAAAAACCTCAGTTCAGATTAAAACTATTGTTACATTTGAAAAAACTTGACAAAGCATGTCAAAAACAACTGGCACAAACCTTTGATAACGAAACTTATCAAAGGGCATTTCTTTATTTTTGGTTTCGTAAGGATATAAGATATTCTACTGCTTTGTTACATTGTTGTTCAATAGGAGATATCCCTTTGATCAACTGGTGTTTAAACAATGAAGTTGATGTTAACCAGTGTTCATTTAGTAATCAGTCATCTGTTATGATTGCTTCGGAACATGGCCATAAAGAAATTGCAAGGCTGTTGTTAGACACCTTTAATGAGGGCTTGTATACATGGTCATATGGAAATAGTTAAGATGTTGCTAGACAGAGGAGCAGACTACAATAATTGTGACAATGCAGGTCATTTACCGGTAATGAATGCATGTGAACATGGTCATACAGAAATAGTTAAGTTCCTATTAGACAAAAGAGTAGACTTTAATGATTTTGATAATTGGAGACGGTCCCCTATGATAAAGGCTTGTGAACATGGTCATACAGAAATTGTTAAAATACTGATAGATAGAGGTGCGAATTGTAATAAATCTGATTATTTCGGAACGTCACCTCTACTTATGGCTTGTACACATGGTCATACAGAAATAGTAAGAATGTTCTTAGACAGAAGGATATATTATAATAAAGCTGATTATAATGGTTTGATACCTTTACTTACGGCTTGTGAAAATGGTTATACAGAAATAGTAGAGATGTTGTTGGATAGAGGGGTAGACTTAGATAAATCTGATAATAAAGGTTGGACACCTATCATGTTTTCTTGTAGATACAATCATTTGAAAGTAGTAAAGATGTTGGTAGAAAGAGGAGCACTTTGTGAAAAATGTAACAGCTGGGGTCAATCACCTGTTATGAAGGCATGTGCACATGGTAAAACAAAAATAGCGCGATTTTTATTAGACAGAGGGTTAAACTATAATACATGTGACGAACCTGGTATGTCACCGATAATGAAGGCAAGTAGATATGACCATACAGATATAGTAAAGATACTGTTAGATAAAGGAGGAAACTATAACCAATGGGACCGGTCACATGTAATAAATGATTGTGATAATACAGAAATGGTTGGAATTTGGATAGACAAGGGGGTAAACTATGATAAAGTTGACATTCATGGTAAATCAGCTTCAATGTATTCTTGTGAAATGGGTTTTATCGAAATACTCAATATGCTGTTAGTAAGAGGCGTTGATTATAATAAATGTGACAAAAACAATCGATCACCATTTTTGGTTGCTTGTCGAAATGGTTTTTCCGAAATTGTTAAAACATTGTCAGACAAAGGAGCAGACCGTAATGAATTTGATAATCTTTATAATACGCCATTAATGGAGGCTTGTAAAAAAGGTCATACAGTCATTGTACAAATATTGATAGAAAAGGGAGTGAATTGTGATATATCTAACATCTTGGGTCAGACGCCTCTAGTTAAGGCTTGTGAACATGGTTATACAGACATAGTAAGAATGCTATTGGAGAAGGGAGTAGATTATAATAAATCTGACCTTAACGGTTGGACTTCTATTGCATTTGCTTGTAGTAAAGGTCATACAGAAATAGTAAAGATATTGTTAGACAAAGAGGTAGACTGTAATAAGTTGAACACTTTGAGTCAGTCACCCATAATGCATGGTGTTGTCTATGGAGACATTGAAAAAGTAAAGATGTTGTTTAACAGAGGAGTAGACTGTAACCAATGTGACAGAAAAGGAAGATCACTTCTTATGGAGGCTTGTTCCACCGGGCTAACAGAATTTGTCAAAATATTGTTAGATAACAATGTAGACAATAATAAGTGTAACAGAAAGGGCTGGTCACCATTAATGTGTGCTTGTAGAAATGGTCACGAAGAAATAGTAATGATGTTGTTAGAAAGGAGAGTGGACTTAAATAAATGTAACAAATGGCGTTGGTCAGCTGTACTGTATTCTTGTAAACATGGTCATCAAGAGGTTTTAAGGATGCTGATACTCAGCGGAGCAAACATTATAAATGTGATAATAATGGTTGTTCACCTATTATTATCGCTTGTAAACGTGGCCATACAAAAATCGTCGTTGTTGGATATTAAAGCAGACGTTATAAAATGCAATAATAGTGGGCAATCACTTCTTATGTATGCTTGTAAATATGGTCAAACAGAAATAGTTAGGATCTTGGTAGATAAAGGGATAGACTATAGAAGCTGCGATAAAAAAGGAAGGTCATCTCTAATGTATGCATGTAAACATGGTCATACTGGTGCAGTAAGGATTTTGTTGGACAAAGGAGGAGACTTTAATTTCAATTATGCTGATGGTTCTTCCCTCATAATGCATGCTTTAAAAAATAGTCATAGAGAAATCGTAAATATATTAGTATATAAAGGAACAGGTTTAAATGAATGTGACAGCAGTGGTCGGTCTCTGCTAATGAAGGCTTGTGAATATAATAATATTGAAATAACCTGTTTGTTATTAGACAGAGGAGCTGACTTGAATAAGTGTGATATATTGGGTGAGACACCTCTCATGAAGGCTTGTGAACATGGTCATGAACAAATTGTAAGTTTGTTGTTAGCCAAAGGAGCAGATTATGATAAATTTGATAGAATTGGTCAGTCACCTATAATGAAGGCTTCTGAACATGAACGTACAGAAATCGTAAGAAAACTGTTAGATAAAGGAGCAGAATTAAAAAAAATGGACAAATCCGGTCAATCACCTGTTATGAAAGCTTGTAAACAAGGTCATGAAAAAGTTGCAAGTTTGTTGTTAGATAAAGGAGCAGAATATGATAATTTTGACATATTGGGTCAGTCACCTGTCATGACAGCTTGTGAATATGGTCACACAGAAATAGTAAGGACATTGTTGGATAAAGGTGTAGACTTTAATAAATGTGACAGATCAGGTCAGTCATCTATTATGAAGGCTTGTGAAAATGGTCATCCAGAAATTGTATGGATGTTGTTAGATAGAGAAGTAAACTGTAATAAATCTGATGATAAGGGAAGCACACCTTTAACAATTGCTTGTGAAATTGGCCATACAGAAATAGTTAAATTACTATTAGACAGAGGAGCAGACTATAATTACTGTGATTTTGATGATAAATCACCAGTAATGATCGCTTGTAAACAAGGTCATACAGAAATAGTAAACGTTTTATTAGACAGAGGAACAGAATATATTAAAGTCAACATGTCTGATCAGTCACCTGTCATGGTATCTCATTGCAGTGGTCAAATAGAAGCAATCGAGATGATATACGATAGAGGTGCAGACTATAATACAAAATGACAGTGAAGGCTTGTCAAATGGGCATACAGAAATAACTAAATAGTTGCTACACGGAGTCAAATGTATTCAAAGCATGTGAACAGGGGTATACAGAAATAGTAAATATGTTTTTAACAAGAGGAGCAGACTTTAATAAAATTGACTGGACTAGTCAGACACCTTAAATGACGGCTTGTGAAAATGGTCATACAGAAAAAGTGAATTTATTATTAGAAAAAGGACTGGAATGATCAGTCGCTCTTATGAAGGTTTGTGAACATGGTCATACAGAAATACCGAGAATATATTTAGACAGAAAGAAAGACTGTCATAAAATGAACAGGAGTGATCGATCATCATTAATGATGGCCTGTAAACATGGTCTTTCGATTGAGTTAAGCCATTCCAATTGATATTTTATAGTGTGTCTTTCTATGTTGTGATGTTAAACTATTATTTCAGATAAGGGTGAAGGTTTGGTACCATTAAAACGTTTAAACTCGCTGCAATTGTTTGCACCTGTCCTAAGTAAGGAATCTGATGTTCAGTAGTTGTCGTTTGTTGATGTGGTTCATAAGTGTTTCTCGTTTCTCGTTTTTTATATAGATTAGACCGTTGGTTTTCCCGTTTGAATGGTTTTACACTAGTAATTTTATGGGGCCCTTTATAGCTTGTTGTTCGGTGTGAGCCAAGGCTCCGTGTTGAAGACCGTACCTTGACCTATAATTGTTTACTTTTATAAATTGTGCCTTGGATGGAGAGTTGTCTCATTGGCACTCATACCACATCTTCCTATATCTATTCATATACAAATAGTAAGAATGCTGATAGAAAAAGGACAAGACCGTGATAAATGTGACTACGTGAATCAGTCACCTGTGTTTATGACTTGTGAAAGTGAGCATGCAGAACTATTGAAGATTAACCGATGTGATTATATTGACCAGGCATCTGTTATGAAGGCTTGTGAACATGTTCATAGAAAAATAGTTGAATTGCTAATACATGTAGAAAGTGGAGCAGACTTTAATAAAATGTGATGTGTATGGTCACACACTTTAAATGATTGCTTGTATGCATGGTCATAAACAGTTGTAAAAATGTGACTGGATATAGGGGCAAACAATAATGTATGTGACAATAATGGCATGTCAACACTACACATTGCCTGTCTGAATTGTCAGTAGGGTATATTTACTATGATTAATAAGCATGCTTTAATAGATAAGAAATATCAAAAGTCAACACGAAATAAATTATGCACTTTCCAGAAAGGACTTAGACAACTGAGTAAATGTATTTTAAAGTATTTAGCTATATCTTTGTTAATTGTTTATTTTAATGATTTCTTCAATGGAAATAGATATTGATTTTATATTTCAATTGATTAATTATATATATGATATTGTTGTGAAAATATAAGCTACTATTATGGTAACACTTTTTTGTTTAATATTCAAAATTTTTTAAAAAAGCTACTTTTTAAATTTCATACATTTATTACCAATGTAATATTCTTGTGATGATACATACTTGTACTGTAATAACACCGCATGACATTTATTCCACACAGTTATTTAATGAATGAGTATTTTATGCCATGAAAACAATATTGGGGTACCGTTGGTATTGTAATTTTTGGTCCAGTCTTTCGTTCAATAGTCCTTCATTTGGTTTAGGAAGTTAAAATGAAATTGTAATCATTACTATGTGAACTTTCTAAATGATTAAACAATTTATGGTTTTGACACCGATTAAATAGTTCACCAAACATTAAAATAATTATGCTTTATATAGTATACCATTGTGATTAGATGACTTCAGCAAGAAACGTACTATATAGATATATGAAGATGTGGTATGAGTGCCAATGAAACAACTCTCCATCCAAGTCAAAATTTATATATATCTTCATTGTTAGGTGATGAGAGTAAATGATATGTCATATAACGCTGGTTTCATGGTTTACTGAATATTTAGAGATTAGTGCTAATGGGCAAGGTGTCTTATGGACATGTATTCTTTTTGAAAAAAAAACACACATCATTGTGATAAGTAAGCCACTTTTTATACTTTTTAGATAAATTAAGAGATAACTGTATTGCATTTTAAGTTTGGCTTTCGTAAAACGTAGATTTTACTGTCGCAAATTGGGTTTACCCTGCGACGCTTGCTCTGGACGTCTGACAGGAACATACTGAGGGGTGTTTAAGTTGTTGTGAATGCTTAACCCTCTCCTTACCTTGGACATTGAATAAACAGCACAATACAATAATAAACTAAACATTAGCATGATTAGTAAATGAAAGCATATTCAGGGTGATAATCTCTTACAATGATATGATATGTCCTTTAAAAACAGACAGACACAACAAGTCAGATTGTTATCTTGCCTACAAGGAAAGTCGAAAAAGATAAGACAATAGCATTATAATACGTCTTTGGGGGCAACAGCGTAAACTATTTGTTTGAAGCTTTATATTACACAAGGTAGACTACCTGGATGCTTTACACTTGTATGCAGATGCCAAAAGTCGCAAAGTTCCGTCTGTCATATATCCATTGTTCTTGACCTCTTTTTCGTGGTTCTGCGACTGCTTGAAAAGTTTTTGTTGTCATAAATAACTCACTTATCAGTTATAGGATGACTATATTTATTATATTGGATCCTTGCAAGTTCTACACGTGTCCATCAGACAGTGACCTCATTTCACGGAATGGCGATCAAGATTAATTTTATGTGGTTTGTTCTATTTCTCAGATACTATAGGCAATGGGAACACTTTATTTGGTTTAGGGAATGAATGTTTAGTGTATATGTCAGTCTGGAAGGTTTCATGGTATACATATGTTTAGATGGGTTCATATGACATGAACCTCATTTTAATGTTTCAGTGGTCACTGTTAAATTTTAAATTAGATTTGTTACGCAGATATTTTAAACAATAGGCTGACTTTATTTGGTTAACATGTGTGTATGGCATGTTTCATCTGACCTTGTCCTCATTTACATGGATCTTTTATAATTTTAAGATTATGTGTTACTTGTAGTTAAACCTTTCTTATTATAGTTCCCATGTTGTAAAGAGACCTTTATATCGTCCGTGACCGAGATTTGAAATCATTCATCAGTAAAGATATACATATCGCTGATAAGGTTGGTAATAATATCATTATTGTTTGACATGAATTTTACATTGAGGTTCTGCAAAAGGAAATCACGAATTCACAAACATTCCATCTGACTCCATTTTCGGAAAATGGCATCTTTAACAAATATAAACTTTTAGCTACTTCTTTACAAGCAGAACCAAATACAATGAAAGTAACAACTATGCATGGGTTCCAAATGTGCACAAAACACCTGACACATATAGATTTTTTTCGTCTTCAAGTCTATTCTAGTTACTACTACACTAAATTGAAAATAGTAGAATTAATTACTTAAGGAATGTCAACAATTCGTTGAAGGTTCTTGAAAAATTGCATGCTTATGATTTCAAATCTGTTCAAAGTTAAAAGTTTCTACCCTATATATCACTTCATCTCATAATCTTATTAAGAAAACACTTCACACACCTTATTAAATGGGCATTTAAAAATCAGAATGCAAATATATATGTGTAATCTCGTTTAGGTCATTGTTACTAACAACAGACAATCTATATTTATATCTTTAACGGGAAGCTTGAGACCAAAATATGAGATGAAAGAGATGATTTTTCATTTCCTGTTGTTAATAATCCATTTCTAGACGATTGGTTTGTGTATGTAACAACGTATCTGATTTCAACGAAAGAAATCTCTGTATTTCATATTCTGAAATCGGATGTTGACTTTTTTTGAACTGCGTTTTACTGTGCGTATTGCTTTGTGTTTGTTTTTCTACATTGGCTAGTTGTATAGGGGGAGGGTTGAGATATCACAAAACATGTTTAACCCTGCCGCATTTTTGCGCCTGTTCCAGGTCAGGCGCATCTGGCCTTTGTTAGTCTTGTATGAATTTTAATTTAAGTTCTTTTATTTGGTTTGGAGTTTAGTGGGACATCCATTTTCACTGAACTAGTACACATGTTTGTTTAGGGGCCAGCGGAAGTCCGCATCCGTGTTCGGGATTTTCTCGCTAGGATGAAGACCCATTGGTGACCTTCGGCTGTATTTTGCCCTTTGTTGGGGGTGTTGTCTTTTTAACACATTCCCCATTTTCATTCTCAATTTTATTCTAAATACTAAGGATTTTCTTATCCCAGGCGTAGAAAACCTTAGACGTATTTGGCACAATTTTTTGAAATTTTGGGTCATAAACGTCTTTAACTTTATACTTGTTTGGCTTTCTGACTATTTTGATCTGAGCATGAATGATGAGTCTTGTGTAGATAAAACGCGCGTTTGGCGTATCAAATTATAAGCCTGGTACCTTTGATAACTATTAGCATGTCGAAATGTATTATTGTATGGTTTATTTGTGTATTTCTCTGTCCTGAATGTAATTGAATTTATTTGTGCTGTACTGTAGTCATGTCATGTAATGTTGTCCTTTTAGTGTTATATTTCATATTGCCATAAACGCACGAGGTTTGGCTAGCCTCAAAACCAGGTTCAACCAACCATTTTTTTCTTAAAATGTCCTGTACAAAGTCAGGAAAATGGCAGTTCTTATCTTATAGTTTGTTTCTGTGTAAGTTACATTGTCGTTTGGTTTTTTGTTGCACTTTAGTGTTCTGTTGTTTCGTTGTTTTCCTCTTATAGTTGACGTGTTTCCCTCGGTTTTAGTTTGTAACCCGGATTTGTTTTCTCTCAATCGATTTATGACTTTCGAACAGCGGTATACTACTGTTGCCTTTTTTTATTTTCTCGTACTTATAAGGGCCATCAGCAGGCAGCACATACCAACCCTAAAGCCTAGTTTGATATGGTCATGAATTAAACCAATTCTCTTCTACACTAGAGTCAAGAATACTTCGGGGTGTTTTGTTTTTGATAAGAAACTAATGATTTAACTTTTTATTTTCCAGCTTGGTATAATATTAATTATATAAAACTTTATATGATATTTAAGGTTCATCATAACTAATGGACAAAAATGGCTGTGTTTAGACCTCAAAAACTACTCCGAGTACAGACTCACCTGTGCAGTTGGAAAAGTTTTAAGGCCTGGCATCCACTAGATATATAAAAGTTAAATACATTGTTTGTTTCAGAAAGATAAAATCATTTTTGGATTTTGATGAGCATTTTTTTTTCGTTCCTGCAGAAGGTGTAAAAATAAACTAAGTTGGGATACAACTTTGAGATGCTCCCTCTCAGGTAAAAACTGTACTGTATTGTATTGATTGTCCTTGATTGGCATGGACAATAGACATACAATAGATATCTACACAATTATAGGTGAGTTAAAGGGTGTAACTGAGTGGACAGTATCAAAAGCAATTCAGGTGTTTGTTTATTTTTACACCTTCTGCAGGAACGAAAAAAAAATGCTCATCAAAATCCAAAAATGATTTTATTTTTCTGAAACAAAAAATGTATTTAACTTTTATATATCTAGTGGATGCCAGGCCTTAAAACTTTTCCAACTGCACATGTGAGTCTGTACTTGGAGTAGTTTTTGAGGTCTGGTCTAAACACAGCCATTTTTGTCCATTTGTTATGATGAACCTTAAGGCAAGAAGCTTTTAACATAAGCATAAAATGGCACATATTATGTAAAACATAAATAATCACAAGGTGACTCTAGAAAGTAGTAGTATAAAAAGTGGTAAAAATAAATGAATATGGTGGTAGATTAAATATGAAATTTGTAGTCATTTATCCTACAGTATATCTTTGTTGGTATATTCTTTTATCTACATATTATTTTACCTCATATAGATTTATGGGGATATGATTGGTTAACGGACTACACGTGGTGGCTATATATATTTGGTATAGGGTGCCCTAAAAATTACATAGATATAGGAAGATGTGGTATGAGTGCCAATGAGACAACTCTCCATCCAAGTTACAATTTATAAAAGTAAATGGTTAGTTAACATACAGGGTTAGCAACCATATGGGGTTAGGAAGGAGTTACTTCCCTTTCAAAACAAAAAAAGAAATCTAAAACATTTCAACAGACGACGAAACCGATAATGATCGATTGAAATACATTCATAAAATAAATTTTAAGCTAACACGTTGTTATTGTTGGCATTTGTTTTTTTTGTATAGACAAATGGAAGTAGGTTCTTAAACATGTTAAAACTAGGTATTGAAGACTTAACTACTTTGATAGGCCGATAGTCTAAATACCACATGAAAAGACAGTCGGTAAGATAAATTCGTTACACGGTGTGCTAGTGACCTAATACGATATATATGGGGTCAGTCAATTCCATATGCGGATTTGAGCTTCGCTCTCACCCCATATGGAATTCACTGACCCCATATATATCGTAT